GACTGGAAGTGTGTAGTTTCAAACGCAGAATTAAGGAATATAACCCAAGTCATTCGAATGAAAAAGATAAGAAATCCAACTGCACATCGTTAGATGTTGAAGAAGCCCAAAGTGCTGGAACAAAACTTTCTATGAAATCGGTATATTCTGGTAACAACGATTAACAAAGATTGTTCAAAAAAAAAAAACAAGATCAACAACAGAACTGATAAAAAACGAAGTGAGTATACACAACCCCTCTGCCAAGTGCTAATTGGTATCACGCTTCTCGATAAGCCGCAGTTGCTTCTTTTTTGCTTTGCGCACCTTCGCAGTATTCCTTATTACCTGGAAAGCAAAAGAATTGAGCATTTCAAAAAAGTCGTAATCTCGTTGAAACATCACAGTTCACCTGTACAACTTCTCCCTTTCGTTCATTTTCAATGCGACGTCTTTCCTGCTCTTTCCTACGTTCAATTTTTTCCTAAAAAACAGAATACATACAGAATCAAAACTTAGAACGGGAAACATTTAGAGTTAACATACCTGCTTCTCTTTAAGCTGTCGATCACGTATTTCCTGTTGCAAAAGCTTCGATCTTGTCAATTTTTCTTTATCTGCCATTTTCTTTTTCCACGACGATTTTAACGGCTTCACTTTGATAATGGCACTATGTCTAAATGAAGGAGAATAGGGCTATTACTATCTACAACCATGCATTGCAAGTCTTTAAAGTTTTATTTGAAACGACCCGTCATCGCAATCAACTGCGCAGATACTAGCACATTCTGAATTCAATTGGTGCCCTCAAATTCATTCCCCACAAAGGTCTTCAAATACTCCACGGGTTGCTTTGGCTGCTAGTTGAGGATTTCGTCTTGTTTAGAGTACTACAGAACACTGGTCGAGACGATTCTCCTTCTAATTCTGGAGGTAGCCGAGCTAAGGCGTTACTTAAGACGTATGCTGATTGACTCAAGAGAATGTTCAAGGAGGGAATTGAATGAGCGCCTTACTTAACACCTTGCTTCTTGATACATCGCCTCACTCTGTACTAGCTCCCTCCAAAATTCTATAGTGGTAAAATAATCTGCTAATAAGATTTATTAGGGATGTTTTCACGTTTATATTCATGTTCACAAATCTCCTCAATGTTCTGAATTTCAAACAAGTTGATCATAAGGCTTTGTCACACGTGGCAAGCTACTAGATAGGCTAAAAAACAGGAAAACTTATGGAATGAAATCTTCTTCTAAGTCAGACCTCTATGAAACATCCACGCTGTCTAAGGAAACTTATGCGTAGGTCATATATATGTGCGCTTTGTCGCATATGTCGATTTGGTAGAAAATAGATCGGAAGGTGGATCGAAGAGCTCCATGAATATTACGCGATAGAGCGAACTTCCTTCGATCATAATTGAAATGAAACGACGACAACAGCTTCCGCACAAAAAGATAACAGCTGTTAATACCTTTCCGTTATCCGATCCCACTTCCAGCTCTCGGCAAAAACTTATTTCTGGCTGTTTTCAGAATTGGAGCAGTTATTAGATAGCGTGAATTTCGAAAAATCTTTAAATGCAATTTATTTCTGAAATGGCCTTTCTGGTGCGCTGTAGGAGCAAAATTAAAAATGTGAGTCTCATTCAAACTTTTATCGCTGGATAAAGTTCTCCTACAAACTTTTAACAATCACTGGATAGCATAGATCTCGGCAAATTTAATGATGACCTTAGTTTACGAAAAGAACTTCTTAGTGCGCTGTCAATTTGAAAGAAGTTGGGTTTCGCAAATTTGGCACTGACAAAAGCGTAAAGGTTTAGTGGCATGGCCAAATCCTATCCACAAACCGGCAAAGCGCAGTGGTTTGTGCTAATGTGGCGCTATGCGAAACTTAAAATTCCTTTGACTCCTACAGCGCACTAAAAAGTCCTTTACAAGAACCAAATACATCAATGGAATTGCGGAGGTTTATGCTATCGAATGATTGCTAACAGCCTGAAGAAAAAGTTTGTTTAGCGAGAAATATTTGAATGAGAAACATAATTTTATTTCCATTGTTACGGCGCAATAACAAAACCACTTTGAAAATAAAACTCACCACTGGAATCTTTGAGATTTGATCTATTAGACAGTTGTTAGGGCTTGAAGAAAGCTAAACGTTTTCTCAAGAAATCAATAAAAAAGGTGCTGATAATGAAAATGGTCCAAATTTGCGAAATTCAGTCTTCTTCTGGCTGTTAAAGCGCAATAAAAGCCCTTTTCAAAAACCAAATATATCACTGTAGTTTCCGAGATTTAAGTGATCAACTGATCAACTGATGAGTCCCAATAGGACGAAATAGGCGCCTATATAGCACTAGACCTCTAGGCTCAAAATATGTCATATCCTTATCAGATTAGATCATTTTGAGCGGGTCTGTAAAAAAGCAGTCGACAGCAGAAGTATAGTTTATTTTAAAAGCCGTAAGCTCGACTGCCGGTCGCCACAAAGTCAGGTAATAACATCATCCTACTTTGGGTGTTTAATTTTACTCGGCGTCGATACCTTTGGAGGATTGTTTCACCTCAAGGGATCGACGGAACCGAGGGAGGGTGCTACTGATGAGTCCCAATAGGACGAAATAGGCGCCTATATAGCGCTAGACCTCTAGGCTCAAAATATGTCATATCCTTATCTGATCAACTGATCACTAAAAATCTAAAGAAAAAGCCATGTTTAGTGAAATACATTTGAACGAGAAAGATCACTGTACTTTTGCTGTTGCAGCGCAAAAATTAACTACTTTTAGAAATTAAGAGCATTTCCAAAATTTTCGAGATTCAAACTATCGAAGCTATCAATGACTACTCAAACTTCAAGAACAACCAAAAATACGCTTTTTCCCGAAAGCTGGAACTAGGAGGGGGGACGGATAACGGAGGAGTACCCAGTCATTCAACCGAGGCTCTAAATGTTCATTACAAACAGCACTCAAGTAGCTTCTAGAAGACTTCATGGTAAAACAAAAAACCAGAATGAATTAGCAAGATTCTAGATGGATAGATAAGTGTTTTAGGCAACATTTCATTCTTAACTCACTCGCCCTAAAATAACCCAGTCTTTTTATTGATCCGTCTTCACAGTGTTTTCCTTTCACTGTGGGATCCCAGTACTTGTAGCATTCGAATCGTTTTTTTGTCGCCTTCTCCTTGAACGAAGTAGAATACCAATTGTACGATACTCCTTGCAATCTCGAGGATAGCCTGGTTATGGCCTTCCATAGGGCGTTCGGTATTGACCGCCGGAGAGTGTTGGGGGGGGGTTCAGGCCGCGTGCGCCGCGACGAGCATCACAACCACCCGGCCACGGTGTCTCCAAATAGCAAGTAATGCTTGTATTGACTCCACATATCTTCTTCCATTATGGAAAGCAACAATAAAGGATGAAAAAAGGAATGCGTAAAAAATAGAGTAGGTAACATTCTTCTATCTCTGAATCAAAACGTTGATCGACAGTGAAAGATGACGGAGTGGTTTTATCTGCCACAACTCTGACTTCTACATGAAAAAGAAAACGAAATCTTGCCTGGCAGGCTGAACGCTTTTCCACCATCGGCCAGATTTTGGCATTCCTCGAATTTGTGTCGACGATGCTGACGACAGGGGAGCTCCTTCGCTTCCATCGGAAGCAGGAACACAAGAATCAACCTCCATCATCCGCTGCAAAAGAAAATAAACTCGCTATAAACATTGGACACAAAAGGATAAAACTCTCGAAGTTGATCAATTCCTGAGGGATACGTCATGCATTCGTCTTAATTTCTAATTTCGTTTGAAGTGATTGAATGCATATCTGGCCTTTGCAATGACTCGCGGTGGCCTACCGCTGAGCCGAGTCAGTGCTGCTTATCCTCCCAGACAAGTCTGAGACCTGTCTAGTACCAATTTACCGACCCCGGAAGGATAGATGGCTTGGTGAGCCATGAGCGCGAGATCGAACCACTGACCTCGTGTGCGACGCAGAGCACTTCTAACCACTGCACCACATGCGCTCGCAACATTGGACATAGTCTGCGAGAAATCTTATAGCCTTTTCCAGGTTGGTAGGCAGTGGCTTACGTACGTTTTGCCGCTATCGCCCGTCTCATGAGAGCCACACGCCCCAGACTAATCGCTATTCTATAGCAGGGACGGGGAGACGTTATAGAGATTCCACGTGATGCTGCAAGTGCCTCTCATGAAGCGGGCGATAATGTCGAAACGTACTTAGGCCACTGCCGTACCATTCTCGAGAGGGTTTTAAGCATTCTCACAGACGCTGCTAAAATCAGTACTGATCGGAAAAAGTCCAGAGATCCGCAGACCGAAAGAAAGTTGAATGTAGCCTAGATTTTAGGCGAATGGACAAGAACTGTTGATGAACGCGATACTGTTCCGTTCACATGAAGGGCCCGAAAAGCGCGTGTGCAGGGGTTCCTTCCCTTGACACAATTAAGCCTGATTTTCAAGCAAAACATCCCCGGTTTTCAATGAAAAGTTTAGAAAAGAAGAGAAAGGAAATGAAAGATAGTACAAGGAGAAAAGAAAGAGGAAAGGAAAAGGAAAGAAAGTGTCACGAACAACCGGCTAAGTCTAATCTTCAAGTACAACACTTTTGCTCTTCTATGCAGAGCTCAAAAAAGGAGATAGAAGAAAAAAGAGAAAAAAAGGAAAAGAAAGAGGAAGAGAAAGAGGAAAAGAAAGAGGAAAAGAGAGAGGGAAAAAAAGAACGATTTAGAGGAAACAGGAAAACGTGCTACAATCAACTAAATCATGGACCAAGGAGAATTCAGCATGTGGGTGGACGAGTAGTCGTGGACGAATATCGTCAATCACTCGCGGTTGCGGACGAATTTCCCTCCGCAGACTCTCCGCCCCGTCGATGCCTCCTTGTCCCCTCTTTATTTTCTCCTTTCTTTATTGGGTTTTCAACCCTCTTGCTCTACCATCGCTATGATTTTTTATCGCCCAGTGATGTAGGGTGATTTGGAAAACGTTTGCGTCAGGCGGGAGTCGAACCTGCATCTCAACCTATGCGGGAGCTCATGCTCTAACCCGTTGTGCTATTGACGCCCGTTTTATCATCGCTTTTCCTACGCTTCGACGCATCTGTGATTTTTTTTTTGTTATTGACAAAAATTTAGGGAATTTCTAGGCGAGAATGGTTCGTGTTATTATTAAAGGAGGTGTGTGGAGAAATACCGAGGTACGATTTGTGCCATTGTGTCTTTTCTTTCCCTTCTTCTCTTTTTCTGTCCACTCTTCTTTTTTCTGTGTATTTTTGAGCCACGCAGTTTTGGAGTACAGCATTATCGTATCAAAATTCCAGGATGAAATCCTCAAGGCCGCTATAATGAAATATGGCAAGAATCAATGGAGTCGAATAGCATCGTTGCTTCATAGGAAATCTGCGAAACAGTGCAAAGTGAGTTAGCGTTTCGGCTTTTCTAGAATGTCATCCTTTGCAGAAACAAATAGAGTGCGGGTTTTTGATCTTCTGTCCCTCCTGACCTACCTCAAATGAACGTAAAACGAGGAAAAGGGAAGGCAAAGGCATCCCTGGCTGGTGTGCTTACTAGCAGACGAGCCGCCGAAATGGGTAGTTGTGAGTTGAAACCCTGCCTGAGATTCCGGGTTTCGGTCGTATCTCGGCTTTTTTGTGGTTGTATTTTAAAGCATACCATGCCATAGAGTTGGGCATCGGTGGAATGATCACTGGGTTATCAGGTATCTTAGAGACGATCAAACAAAACACCATTTTCTTTAATCGCTTCTAGGTAGCGGTGGTATGAAGTTATAAATATACCCATTGATGTCGAGTGATGTGCAAAACTTTTGCGTCAACTGGGACTCGAACCCTCGATTCACCTTATCCTGACGCGTGTGCTCGAACTGCTGCACTACCGGCGCCTGGTTTGGCCTCACTCCTTCTACGCTACAACGCATGTATCTGTCAGCAACCGGCAGTCAACAGTATGTCACGGGTAGTCGCTATTGACATTGAACCCAGTAACGCTGACAAACATGTATATTGGAAATCCTGTAGAAGCGGTTCATTCCATAAGAAGGAATTCTGTTTAATCATCTGATACACATGATCTGTCAGCGTGATTAGGTCCAATGTTAATAGCGACTACTCGTGCCATAATGTTGAAGGTTGGTTGCTGACAGGCAGATGCGCTGCAGCGTAGAGAGTGAGCCCAAAGCAGGCTCCGGTAGTGCAACGATTTGAGCACGCGCTTCTGGATAGGGTGAAATGTGGGTCCAAGTCTTACCTAATGCAGAAGTTTTGCGCATCACTCTACGTCAACGAGTATATTTTAGAGACGGTTTGGTCGATCTTTTGCTGGTTTTGTGATGTGATTTGTACTTTTTGAAGATTCTGAAATGTGAATACTACCCATTAATGTTTGAGAAGCTGTGAATGAGAGTCGGTAATAGGTAGGAAATGTAATTACAATGTACTGCAGTTGATTTGTGGATTAGGACATTGAGCTTAAAGGGTTCATTTATGGTTGTTCTAAATTACTGTCGTTTGCAATCTGACACTTAGGCTCGATGGTTTGAATGGTTGGATCCGGGGATCAAGAAGACCGAATGGTCGCGTGAAGAGGATGAGAAGCTGCTTCATCTCGCCAAGTTGATGCCTACGCAATGGCGAACCATTGCCCCCATCGTAGGAAGAACTGCTGCTCAGTGTCTTGAAAGGTACGTCTTTATCTTTGTTGAGTAATATGCTATGGTTAGATAAAATCAAGTTGTTGAAGGATTTGGCTAATGACATTGATGGGATCTAAACAGTGCTCTCGTAGGAGAAGTGGATGAGTTACTTATACACTTATGGTCTGTACCATCAGTAGTTCGTTCTAAAACGTAGACAAGGGTTCTGCTAACCTTTTAGAGCACAGAGAGCCATGCATGTTAGTATACAGAAGCCTCGATTGTGTACATAGAGAGTACAGTTGATTCCTGCGTATTAGAGTGAATTTCCTAATTCCATAGATTAGCGAAGAAATGTAGATATATCGCGATAGATCCAACATAACTAAGTTCTGCGTGACAAAGTTACCGTCCTGGGCGCGTAGATTAACAAACAAGTGTCGATGTAATGCAATAGATCCAAGTATATATATACATATATATATATATATATATATATATATATGCTCATGTATGCATATGCACATATATATGTGTGGTGCATACGCGTATATACGTATATACATAGACGTGCGTTCGTAGTATATATGTATGTACATGTATGTGTATACATGCATATAAGGGTAATACGTTCATCTGCTCAGGAATACCATCATATCGAAAGCCACTGAAATATTTTGGAGCCGTAGCCCAGTAAGCGTCCAATCGTATCCACAGCAAATCTCGGCGAGCTACTTGTGGCTGGTTTCACGCTTAAACAAGAAGATCAAGGAATTTGATGTTGAAAGTTCGATTATTTCCGTCCTATTCAAATGGTTCGCATACAGTTAATGGTTTTTTGAGGAAGCCAAAGCCAAACATGTGTTTTATTGTGCGGTAAGGCTGTACACAAGCCGCCATATGTGGTCTGGAATCTCCAATATGACTATAGTCAGATAAGGGCCCAAAATAGTGTGTGTGTGGCGCAGTGGTAAGAGGTGCGCTGGGGCGCATGCGTGATCGATCTTATATCTTCGATGGTTTGATCCCGTACTTGAAATTCACCGAGCCTTTCATTACTTTGGGATCGGTGAATTGCTACCAGACTTGCCTGGGAGAATAGTAACACTGACTGATACGTCGGCAGGCTATTGCATAGGCCTAAAATGTACCCAATGATCTCAGATAATCTTTAATGAAAAATGCGTGGTGAATCCCCAGAAATCGATTAATACCGAGAACTTCATCCTTTATCTCTGCGTGGCCTAAAACTGCAATATATTGCCCTAGGGTGTTCACAGTCAAAGGATCAACTTTGTTGAAATGAAATCCTTTGTATCCAATATTTTTCCACTCTCCGCAAAAAAAAATTAATAACCTAAACAGAACAAAAACTATTACAGCCGCTATATTAAAAAACATTTTGGCAGATTTTCTGAATTATCTTTGGAGGTTGAGCGATAATAGAGAGCCTAAGTTTTTTCTCATTACAAGTTTTGGATTTTCATACCAAACGTAGAGATTTGCGTTGAGTTGTCGATCAGAGCCGTCGTAGACAGTCACAGTCAAGAGCGATGTTCGCCAATGTGACTGACCAATTCTTGGGATGATCACAGATAGGATGTATATATCAAGTAGAAGAATATGTACGCATTCATTATTCTGTTACCTTCATTGTCAAACTAGATATTCCCAGCCTTTTCAAAATAGAAGTTCTCCTCAATAATTAAGAGGAGTTATTGTTCCAGATATGAACATTTGCTCGATGAGGCCCAACGAAAAGCAGAAGGCTTGGATGACGAAGCTACAGAGGCTAAGAGACTCAAACCAGGGGAAATTGATCCCACCCCTGAGACAAAGCCAGCTAGACCTGATCCAATTGACATGGACGATGATGGTATGGCGGTGAAGTTTAGATTAAGAACCCAAAGTTTCTGTTAAAACTCTGTCTTCAACTTTATCGTCTTCATCCCATTTTTTTTAGAGTTGGAAATGTTATCAGAAGCACGAGCTAGGCTTGCAAATACTCAAGGAAAAAAGGCGAAAAGAAAAGTATGTTATATTCAGTTTGCAATTCTATTCATTTATTTAAATGCAGCGATGATCATTTGATATCGAAGGCATAATATTTCGTAGGTGGATTTTTCAGGCATAATTATGTACTTATGCATTTGTACTTTCGTAGAAGATTTTTTCAGAGTTTCGTTTTCTTTTGGTTTCATCACTGTCAAATTTCCTTCATTCTAGGCACGCGAGAGACAACTATCAGAGGCTCGTCGCTTGGCATCACTTCAAAAACGTCGCGAAATGCGTGAAGCTGGTCTACTTGTTCGAAGATTCAAGCGACTGAAGAGAAATGCAGTCGATTACAGTGCTGAGGTTGGACAATTTAACAGCAACTCTACGTTCTTAATAGTCTGATATGACGTCATGTATCCATTATGTGAAGTATTTATGTTTTCTAGATACCATTCGAAAAGCCCGTTCCTGCAGGTTTCCATGATCCGACAGAAGATCAAGTGGACAATAGTGACAAGCATTATAGGGTAAGCAGTACTTAGTCGTTGTTTATAGTTTTGCAGTCAAAAGTAGTTCAACATTCCAGGCTATCGCTGATCATGAGAAACCGAAGCGCATGGAGGTTGAAAATGAGCTCCGTAAACAGGATAGAGAGAAGCTTAAGAGAAAAAAGTAATCTAAGCTATAAGTTTGCTTGGATGAACACAGTTATTTGTTTGTTTCAGGCCTGAGGATGAACCAGAGTCTGTTTTCAAAACCAAGGAAAAGAAGAGAAGCAAGCTCATTCTTCCAGCACCACAAATTAGCGACCGTGAAATGGAACAGATTATCAAAATCGGTCATGCAAGTGACAGTGTTCGTCAGTATGCTGACGGAGGAGCAACAAGGAAAGCTTTATCGATCCACGATATGTGAATTTCAATTTAAGGCGATTTACCTTCTTCATTTCAGCTCCCTTCTCACCGACTACGCGGCATCCGCTCGTGCAAGCGCTATAGCTGCTCGTACTGCTAGAACACCGGCGGCGCGGGATAATGTACAAATGGTGCGAAAATTTTCTATTATGTTGTTGATTATTCATTGGAAAGCAACAAAAATAGCATGTCTTCCATTGGCTGAAATGATTACATTCTTAAATAATATCTCTACCACCAGGAGCGCGTGGGGTGCAGTGCTTTGCGGTGTTCTGCGATACTCATGGTCTACTAATTGATGGTCGATGGTCACCTACCGCATTCAGGACTCACCAAACCTTCCATACCTCCGGGATCGATGAAGTAGTACCATAATTGTTTGGGAGGACAGCGGCGTTGATTCGATATATCGTCAGACAACCGCGAGTCATTTCAAGGGCCAGATGTGCATTCAGTCACCTTAAACGACACTAGATAAAGACGAAAGCATAGCGCATCTCG